TAGTAGTAGCCACCAGGGGCGGGGTCTGGGAAGCCAGGACAAGGTTCCAACAAAGGAGATACATCAGTCACCCCCCCTCCCCTCCCCCAATCACAGTGCTTTGGGATAGAATTGGATCAGAACCATGGAAGGGTCAGAGGTCGGCTCTGCAGAGCATCGCACCCATAGAACAATCTGTGCATACCCCGTATACCATGGCGGTGTACTCACTCGATGAAGAAGCTGGCGCCTTCCTCTGTGAATCCTTCTTCCCATCCGCGGGGGAGATCTGAGGAGACAGACACAACATGTCACATACAAGGGCCGGGGCGCAGTACAACATGTCACCCAATATGACATCACAGCGCTGTGGGAGGAGCCAATCCCCTACATAGACCGGGAGTCACATGTGACACCGATATAAGGCCGTGAGGGGGCCCTTTAGGGCCACATTCACACGTCTGCTCACCTCTCCACCATTGTACAAGGAGGAGACGTTCTATAGAAGACGGCCGGTAAGGTTTTGGCCCTCAGATACATGTTGAGGGCCCGATGAAAACAAATGGGTCGTTGTACAGGCTCTGGAAGTGTCCGGGTCTGTATAATCCCCCCACAGACCCCACGGAGAGCAACCAACCTGAACAACGTCCTGTTAGCAGATACTTCATAAGCCTGTTCAAGAATCGCAGAACAAAGATCAATGCAGCAGCTCCCGGCCGTCCAATCACACCATGTCCACCGTCATTGGAGGGTTCTCCCCATCAAGATGCACAGGGGCCCTGACCACATTCCGGGGTGGCGGATCTCGGGGGAGGGGCGGCAGTGAGGGGGTTCATGGCGTCCTAGCGGGGTCATTGGTCAGATTTAATCTGAGCGGAGCGAGACGCCACGGTATGCAGAGCCGACCCGAAACAAAGATGGCGGAACTCCGACTACAGCGACTGACAAGGCGGCCAATCACCTGGCAGAGACAGGGCCGGATTCACTACAAATCAAAGACCTGAGGTCACATGACCCGAGAGAAGTCCGGGAAGGTTCCTATTGGCTGAGGACAAGACCAGAAATGTCGTCATCATCACAACACTGGGGGGGGATGGGAGGGGCTACAGACCCATCAACTCAGGTGACCGGTCAGGATACGGATCAGACTTGTAGTCAGCTCTGAGGTCAGAGGTCATGGGGGGAGATTAATGTCCCCGAGGTGTTCTATTGGATTCGGGTCGGTGGGGGAGGGGGGGGCATTCAATGGTATCGATCCCTTCACCCTCAGGGAACTGGCTGCATACTGTCGCCACATGAGGAGCCCCGGACCCCCTGCACCAGCGTAGGGTCTGACAACGGGTCCAAAGATTTCATCCCCATACCTAATGGCAGTCAGGGTGCCAATGTCTGGCCTGTAGAGGTCTGTGCGCCCCCCCCCCCATGGATATATGTGATGCTGAGCCTCCATGATTGGAAGAACTGAAGTCTAATGAATGAAAGGGGCGGAGCCATGGACAGTCAAGACATCAAGGAAAGAGCTAGATGATGCTGGACGTCCTCCAGCCAGGAAATGAGGCGGCCTCTATCTGACTTGCTGCAGCTTCTAATGCACATTGCAAGAAGCTCCCAGTGTGCAGCGATATCAGAGGGGAGGAGCCGGTACAACTGTGCAAGACCGAAGGAGGGGCGGGGCTCAGAGAAAAGACTGAATGAGGGGGCGGGGCTCCAAGAAAAGACTGAGCAGTCAGTGTCAGGTGAGTAGTCAGTGTCAGGTGGGCAGTCAGTGTCAGGTGAGTAGTCAGTGTCAGGTGGGCAGTCAGTGTCAGGTGGGCAGTCACTGACAGGTGAGTATTCAGGTGGGCAGTGTCCGGTGTAGTTAGGTGGGCAGTCCGGTACCTGAGCGGATCATGTGTCCGGAGTTGACGGGCTCTCCGGTCCGGGGGTGCAGCCAGGTCGTGTTCCGGGACTGGTCGCTGTCGGAGGAGATCGGAAGATGAGTTCGGACATTCTATAGATACATATTATATACATGACACCCGCCTCCCCTCCCCCTCTCTCCCTCTTACTCGATGAAGAAGACCCGGC